CTCAAAAACCCCTCAACATATGTCGTGACGCTCTCCTCGAAAGAAGGTACTTGTAATACCACGCCTTTTCCCCATCCGCAATTTTTTCTGATCATTTTGAGACTTTCCTCTCCCACTAATGAGATGATCCTCGACACATGCTCCCGGTGACCCGGGACATTGGGAGGCCTTCCCGACGTGATGGCACTCCTCGAGGCAGGACACCCTGAGGCCCGCTCACCGGGCGCTGGCGGTGCGTCACTATCACCAACCGAATGTGGAGCATAGGAAGAACTCCTCTCTCCCTGGCGGTCGGACGTCGACATAGCGGTCATGACTATAATAGAATATGGGGAGAAAAATATGGACCTGAGCAAAAAAATTTGAGTTGAAGCAACGGAAGGACCAACACAAAGTGCCAGGCTCTGCGGAAAAGTAGTCTCTCAAAGCAGCAGAATCACCAGTGGAAAGGCAAGTAAATGAATATAAAAGGGCAGAGCAGCAACTGCCCACCTACCCAAAAGGTCAATTAACTCTAGCCGCGTTAACATTACCCTCTCCTAGGGAAACGCACTGACAAAATCGCCCCGAGGCCCCCTTTACCAGGTTGAACAAATGTTGCAACCCAGCAAAATTCGAGAATCTGTAGGGCCTCAGGGCTCCTCGATATTGCCGGCACCGGCCCATTAGAAGCCATCGATTTAACCCCAGGGCATGGCCCAATTTGAGGGTCCCGGTCGCTCCAAGAACGGATTTCAAAAGGCAACGTCAAAAGTTGAAAGTCTAAATCCATGAAAGCCGAGGAACAAAAAAGAAAACCTGAAAAAACTGAAAGAAGAAAAGTCCCTCTTTTTACATTGCCAAAAACGTATCCACAAGAGACATTTTTACAAAATCCATCCCCTGGGGACTGCATACAAGTGGAAAAAGAAAGAATGCAAATGACTTGGGGACTACTCTTCATCACCACTATCTTCGACCTCATCTAGGACAATTAAAAGCGCCAGTTCTCTCTCCAATTCGCGGGCTTCCTCGATATCAACTGACAGATCGATGCCCCGGGCTTTGATCTCCTCCAAGGTTTCTCTCCTCGCCTCCCCCTTAGCATGATTAATAGCCCAAGCTAGCTTCTGCTCGGCTGCTATTAATACATCACGAGCTATTTTATGCGTCGTGGCTACGTCATCCTGATAAGTGGCAGCATTTCTTTCAACCTCAGACTTGGCCGCGGCCAAGGCAGCAATCTCCTTGTGAGCATTCTTGAGAAGATCATGGAATGACGCTAACTCCTTAGTCATTACCTCACTTTGCTTCCTCAACCCGAGTATCTCCGTGTTCAGTCGACTAATCTACGAACCATTTTGCTCTACCTACAAAAGAAAGGAAAGCCAATTTATGTCGGAATACGGGAGCAAAGGTCGGGTACAAGTATGGCAAAATACCTGCGCAGCAAGGTCAGCCTTTTCCGGGAGCTCCCTCTAAAGCAACTCGGAGCACTCCTAATTCCTTCTCTCCCCAGGCAGAGCGAGCCTCCAAATCCCGCAGCATCGAGATAAGTTTCTTACACTCCTTTTCATGGTAAGAAAGCTCCTCACAGAGCCGAGAGAGGGCATGATCGTACATATCCTTGCACTACGACATAGCGGAAAAGTTAGAAAGACGGAGAATGACGCCCAAGACTAAAAAAAATATACGAAAGATAGCTATCACCTGCTGCATGAATCTCTCCGCCGCCTTGACGACGCTAGGAAAGTCAAGATCGATGCTATCGCTAACACTGTCAAAAAAGTTGGCAAGGGGGCCTCCCCTTTTGAGAGGAATCATTGCTTTGACGACGTTCGCTTCTTGAGCGTCCCTCAGTTCCCCTAACGAGACCTGAAAGCACGAGATGAAATCATTCATGTTGCTGATTTCCCCAAAAGGCAACCCTGCTCTTAAAAAGCTCGAGGCCCCGACCCTTCAGGACCGATGGCAGCTCCCCCCAACGGAAGTTGCGCTAAACCCGGTCATGCGATCCGAGGCCACACTAACACCCTCCTCAGGGGTCCCCGATTTGCGGGACCGATCTGAGTCAGCCATTCAAGACTCAGCAGCCTTCAATCGAGGCACCTGCGAGGCTCCCGCGCGTGACCTTGTCATCCATGCTAACTGGCACTAATCGTCATCCTCATCTTCGGCACCAGGATTTTCCCCTGAAGTTGAAGCGGAGGTCCTAGCAGCGGCTTGATGCTCGAGTGACCAGGGTTTCTTTGTCGTAGGAAGGTCAACAGCCGCCTTGCCTTCTCTCTTCTTGCCCTTGCCGGGCTTTGAAACCTCCATCCTACCACTAGGGGGCAGCCTCATCTCCATATTTTCGCCAAGGCCTGCACAAGCATGATAACCATAATTTGTCAACACAAGGGGTGCAGGGAGAAACACAGAAACGCAAATCTAAGATATAGACAACAAAGAAGCTCTACCATGATTCTTGGCCACCCATCGTTTCTTGGCCAGGTCGGTCCAAGACCGAACATGATACGAAAACACAGCATCCAGCCGTCTGATCCACCTCGACATGTCCGAAACCGCCTCGGGGTACCAGGTAGCGGCTGTGTGAAACGATAAAGAGATCATCATTCCGGGAAAAAGGGAAGAAAATTACAAAACATGGTTAAGAGAGAGTCGCTTACGCTGTGTGTTCCACCTCTCCGGGAAAGGCATTTTTCGGGCTGGAATGTGTCCGAGGTCCTTACCCGGACGAACCTGCTCATCTATCTTTGGTCCTTCCCCTCATCGGTGCTCGAGAAAAATGATTTTTTGGATCGATGATGGAGCCTGATCAAATGGTTGAGGGTAAAAACCTCGCCCGCAACCCCTTTGGTAAAATGACGGAGCATCAGTACTATCCTCAAGACAGCGGGATAGACCTAGCCGAGCGTCACTTGATATTTGTTACAAAAATCAAAGATAACCGGATCTATTTCCGGGGGAGAGGATTCAAAAGATTCAGAGGACTCAGCAGGATCCAAGGTGAACGGGTATGTATACACATGAAGGAAGCCGGTCTTGTAGTCCGTTATATTTTCATCGGGGCCAGGAATTTCCACCTTCACTGCCTTGCCCATCGGCAGTCTATCCTTACTATTTCGATGTTGGTCACAACACTAATGTATTAGGACACATGTTCACATCGGCCCGGTGTAGATGAAGTGGTATCGACGATAAAATCTTTTGACATATCAAGCATGGAGGGAGTACATTATTCCAAGGTGGGCACTGCTTTGACTTTCTCCTTAGATGACCGAGATGAAGATGCAGCTTCATTCCGCCGAAGAACTGTTCCAGAAGTCTTGGCCATAGCAATGGTAAAATTTTCTCTCTAAAAGCAAGATGGAAGAGTGTAAAAAAAGATGGGTATGGACTCGTGAATTTGAAGATGCTACGAAGATGAGGATTATCAAACATTCGATATATTTATAGAAACCGCTTGGGCAGTGGAAAGGACGAGCCAATAGCAGTTCGTGGGTTCCTTGATAATTGCATTTGACGGCGACCCTCGCATGTTTTTTTGGGACATGGAATTTAATGCTCTTATAGGTTGACGTCACATCAATGATGCCCTCAGAACGATGGCTCAAAATCGTTTCCTATTACTTCATTCCAGGAAACGCGGAGACTATCTGTATACGGTGAAATCGGAGGGTCCGATTTCTCGTCATTGAGGTATTTTGGGAAGTCATATCAAGATCTCGAGGCTGGGAGGTTGCGGTCGAGTTTTCTCCTTCGATGTCCATTTACGCTCGATCCAATGATGATGCCGAGGATGGGGAGTTCCCAAGGTGAGCAGATAGCACTAGTAGTGCCTGATATCGCGTTTAGCCGTCCCATCTCCATACCTTTACAATTAATGCATTTTGTACTATGTTGGATTTTTCCTCCTATATAAAGGGGATCCTTACCACTTTGTAGAGGGTTGCTGTTGCTTCAACTATTCTACACAAGATAAATAACAACTCTCCCTCTCTCTTTTCTCTCTAACTTACTCGCTCGATATTATCACTTTCATTTATTGCTTTCATACTTGTTCTTCATTCATTGCTCTCCATAGACCATCAAGAGCCTCTAACAATTATATTCTAACTTTTAACCCTTCCCCGGTTATCCCCGATAGCTCGAGCCCGAGCCTAGGCATCGACCTCGAGGCCCCTCATAGGCTAGTCCGAGGCCCGAACAGCTAACCCCCTGGTGCGCTCACAATCTTATTTTAGCTTGCGTTTATCTTTTATCTCCACACATCTAGCATTAACTGCCGAAACAACTAGCATAAAAATAGATCACGTATTTTTAGAGTCCCAACAACAAATTTAATTGTTATTACTATTTTCACGGTAACCAATATATATATATATATATATATATATATATATATATATATNAGAGAGAGCTAATTTTATATCGAATGCAGCTTATATACTATATACTTGGTAATTAATTGTTTGCATTTAGTTACATTTTTCATGCATTTTTAACATTTTAAAATTATAAGAAAATACCAAAAAAATATCTGAAATATTCATTTCACTGGATCTCAGGTTTAATTGCATTTAGAATTTAATTATTAAACAAAAATCACAAAAAAATAATTGTCATTTTTACATTTTTAGCTTTTAGTTTTAAATTAGTAATTTTCTTTCATTAGTTTTAAGTTAATTAATTATTTAAATGGTAGAAATAGATTATTAAGTTAAATTATACAAATTATATGTAAATTAGGATTTAATTTAGGTTTTAATAAATTTGAGTAGGATTTTAAATCAAGGAAAAAAAAGGGAATTAAGGTCTATTTTGGATCTCTATTAAAATCTGGCCCAAAAATAACTTCAATGATCCAAAACTCACTTCAAATCCGCCCAGCCCAAATCTCCCATTCCCGGGGTCCGTTTTCCCACCAAACGACGTTGCTGCGCACCAAAGCTACGTCGTTTTATCCTCCCAATCCCATTAAACGACCAACTCCCTCTAATTATCTCATAAATCAAAACACCCCCCAAAATTAAAAAAAACCCTAGCACCCATATTCCTTCTTCTTCTTCTTCTTCTTCTTCTTCAGCAGAGCAGCGGCGCACCTCAAAACAATCACCTCTACAATCACCTCGGTCGTCTTCTTTGGCGAGTTGATGCCGCGCTCCGGCTGCTGCTCCTCTTAATCTCCTTCTCCGGCGAACTCGGCTGAGAAATCGAGTGGTAAGCACCTTTCTTCTCTCCCTGTAGTTTCTTCTATGCGTATCACTTCCATCGGAAACCCTAATATTTTTTTATTCAATTATTTTTGTAAAATACGAAATGTCACTTGGGCTCAATCTGGTTTGATTTTTATTTTTATACTTGGACGAACAACTTACACGAAATACAGGTGGCTTTCTTGTAATATGTTTTGTGTAAATAGGAATGGATAATTGTCTCTCTATTTCTGAGAGGTCTCAAAATTGCAACCATGATGGACGGGAACATGTAGTTACTTGTATTTAATTGATCTTACAATAGTGAATGTCATGAGGTTGGGATGGTCAGTAAACATAAAGAAATTATTAATTTGCCATTTTCAATATTTATTGCTCTTCTCTCCATGGGATGCTAAACTTAGTAGCTTTATTGCACGATTGATGACTTCTTCTCACTCTAAATTTCATGTTTGCTTGGTCTGTGTGCTTGATGGTTGTTGGGTATTGGGTTGATATTGTGCTCTAATTAACTGATCTTGGGATATTTTTATCAATATAGGTTGGTATGCACCAGCAACTAGTTCTTGCTATGATGTGTCCATTTGAATTAGCATGAGAACCTAGAATTGTTTCTTATCTAGGCCTTCTTTTCTTTAGTCAAATTTACTAGACAAGGGCAAGGCAACATTGGCTTATTGACATCTGATTTTCTTGAAAAATAAGTTGGTTTTCTTTTTTGCCTTGTATCATCATTCATAAGGTTTGTCATGTTATTGTCAGCCTGCAGAGTTATTCCCAAGACAATCGTGCCTAGAGAGGTATGTCTGCTGTAATCTTGAAAAGTCTTGGGCCTTTCTTGATTATTATATTTTTTAGAAAAATAAAGAAAACCTCAGTAGTATATTCCATGGTTTATGAGTTGAGACTTTGAGTTATTTAGGAGTTAGGAGTGCTTTACTCTTTAAAGTATTAACAATATTTCTGTCAGTTTTGATGTGCAAAAAAAATTATATTCTTACATATTTCATTGTCTGTGCTTTCCTTTTCCTTGTAATTTTTCTGGGGGTCTGAAGAACACTGCTTCTTTCTTGGTCCTTATTGGCCTTATCCATAGCCTATAGTACTTTGGGCAGTTGGCTTTTCACTAGTTTTATGCATTCTTAGGTTGCTAATATTTTCTCTGATTTTTCCTTTTTCTGAGTAGCATAGCATGCTTTATTCACTATGTTTCCTGCTGTTAGAGTTCTTGTAGTTTTCCCTCTTGGCTCTTTGTGATTTGTTCATTGTTTTTAAACTCAAGTAAATTCGTGGAATCGTGAGGAAGAGCATGAATGGTCAGAAACATGCAATCTCTATTTCACAATCATGTACTTTTTTTCCTATTCCTTAATTTTAAGAAGACTACATCAAGCTTGTAAAGCAAAATATATGTATCTACTTTTCTCTTATATATTTCTTATTCTCAGGCCATACATTCTAAACGTTTAGATATGTGAATTAAATTATTTTTTTTCCCCTTGAGTAGAGCATTAGTGAAGTGTGATTTTTTTCCTTTTAGTTTTCTGTGTAGTATGAAGCTAGACATTCAAGTCTTGCTTCAACTCATGTTAACTTGTTGAGTGCTTGTTGATGTGACGGTGCAAATCCCCCTTTCACTGCTTTGTTTTGTTTCTAAGCTAGGTAAAGCAATGGCATGCATGTAGGTAATACTGATGAATGCTCTCATTCTCCGAATTTCCTGAGCATAGTTGAATGTATATTAAATTATCACCTTCCAATTTCATTTTATCTGGTTGTGTTATTTTCCTCTCCTTTTTTTTGAGTCAACCTCATGTAGCAGCTTGGAACTTGAAAATCAGCATGAATTTGCATCAGAGATTAGTAAGGTTCGGAAACAGAACAAACATATAATGATGTCGTTGAAACTATGTAAGCTATTATAGCTCTTAGCTCAGTTGGTGAAATTAAAGTTGTGCTGATATTCTCTATCGAATTGGCAAATACCTCGACTATGGTTTATCAGCAAAGCATAGTCGTTTTTATCGCCCAATGCTCGACTATGGTTTATCAGCAAAGTATAGTCATTGATGGTAGTAAGTCTGAGGCATGGCTCTGTTAATTTTCTTTTTCTCTACCAAATTCCTCGGCATAATAAAGTTTACTTGATTGCACCACTTCCAGGTTTTCGTCCAAATATCAGAAGAAATCAGAAAGTAATGTTTGACAGAATGGAAACATTTTGCTCGAAATCAGAAATCAGTATGTAACGTTCTCTCTTCAAAGGGTATGAACTAGGTTTTTCTCATCGTCAAACTAATATGTTTATCTAGTGGTGTATATGTTTCCTTTCTTTAGCCAAAGTCCTTAGGTTTTGCAATACGATATGTTAATAAAAATAGTACACATATAGACCTTTTACAACAGCTGAAGTAACAACTAAAGGGCTTGTTCTTTTTGCGTGAAACAGGACATCATTTTTACTAAAACGATTAGCACATGAACATGATATCTGCATTTTGGTAAGTGTGGCAGTAACATAAACATAACATTATGTTACTGCATGGATCAGTGTCTTCTAATGCACCTTTAACTGATGGATTTGATTTTTCTTTTAACTGGATCAGTGTATTAGGCAACATTAGCCAGAAAATTGAACGAGTGTAGTTGTTATGTACTTACTATATGAACCTATTAATGGTTTAGCTAATCTAAAAGTAATTTCCGTTTTGTATTAATCCACTGATTTAAAATTACACTCACAAGTAAAATTTGACTAAGTAGTTTATACACCAGTACTTATTTCTTATTCTATTGTTTGCTTCACTAATTAATATATATTTTATGATTAATGTTTAATTTTTTCCTGAATCGTGATATTAAAAAGTATGACTAAAATTATGACTCTTGTTTCACAGGTACATGAATGTGCAAATTCTTCAGGGGTAAATTTATTAGACAAAGTGACTACATTACAATTATTCTTGTATTCCAATTAGACTTTCATTTCAGATAGATTTTATTTTATTTATGTATTTTAATTTATGGAGTTTGTAATGAGATATTATCTCAAATATAGTACTAATTTTTTAGAATGATATGATCATGGATGATATTTTTTAGGACTGTTTTGGTTGTTTTAAGCTCTAGATGGTAGTATTTTGTTATTGAAAACCAACTGGGAATCTCTCTTTTTTTTTTTGCCCAGAAATTCATAATTTCTGACCAAATTCGATCGGAAATTTCCAATACATACTCCAGATTATTGAAATTCGGTTGGAAATTATGAATTTATATATATTTTTTAAATAAATCAACAAATTACAAATAACTATTAAATTAAAATAAAAGAAAATTAATAGTTTCCGACCGATTTCGGTTGGAAATTTGAAAACTAAAAAAAATATTTAATAATTTCCTACCGATTTCGGTCAAACATTTCCGATCAATTGCAGTCGGTACATGTTTGCGACCATTATTTTTCTGTCCAATTAAAATTGGTCGGAAATTGCGGACGAAAATCACCTGATTTCTAGTAGTAAAGTTTGGTGATGAGTGCCACGTTGCTCATGGCAAGGTAGAGATAGGAAAGCAAGTATGTCCGGCGTAATGATTTTCCTGCAAAACGACCTCTGAGTGGGTTGTCCGGATGCCTTGAACCATCCCAACCTGGTCTAGCTGGAAGAAACTTTGGAGCATCTGCAACCACTACCATTGATATAGATGTCTCTCTTGCTGGAGTGATCATAGGGAAGAAGGGTGTGAACTCAAAACAAATATGTCAGCTTATTATGTCAAGCTCTCTATAAAGGAGCACGAAAGAGATACTAATAAAAAGAAGGCAAAATACATAGGTTACCCCTTGAACTATGAATCAAATCCCTCTTACACACTTTCTGAGCACGAAAATTATCTTACACACTCAACATTTTCAAAGTATATCTGATACACACCTGTTTTGCTACGTGGCTTTTGCGTGCTTAACATAAAAAGATGAGCGCGTAAAATTGTAAATATTTTGTCTAAATCCATATTTTTATGCCACGTGCCATATTAATAATATTTTCCTTATTTTTTGATTTTTATCAAAAGAAAAAAGCTGCCAAACTTCTCTTTTGTCTCAGGCCCTTCCCAACCTACCAGGACACCCCCCTCCCTCCCCCTCTCTGGTCTTCCCTTCCCATCGTCTCTTTTGCAGTATAATCAACCAAAACTCTGATAAATTTTTTAAAGAAGGTGCTGTAAATTTTCTTTAAGATTGCTCCTCTAAACTTCTCTCTTGCATCTTTTTTATCATTAAAATCCACTAAAACATCCAATCTTTACCTTTAAAAAATGTATTTCATGAGAATGACTAAAATTCTAAAATTTCCAACTCAACTTCCTTCATATAAGGGAAGATTTGAGATTTTTATTCATAATGGAGTTGTTTAATTAATGAAAAGAAAAAACTGATTATGATTTTGCTCTATTTGGTTGCGTATGAGATCTGAATATGGAGGAGGGAAATGGAGAACATAGGAGTTGCAATTTTAGTTTTTATCTCTTTCATTTTCGGTCTTGGGTTTGTTATGGATGAATCATTGTAAAATTAAATTTGTGTGAAGATTAAAAAGTGGTGGGTATGGCTTTTTTCCGGTGGGTTTGCAACGGCGGAGGGCAAACGAAGATGCAGGTGTTGGAGGATTTTTTAAATCGGGGGTATAAGAGTAATTTTAAATATTTTCTCTAAAAAAATAATAATAATGACACATGTCATGATCTTATTGGTGCGTGACATTACACATATTTTTATAAACTGGTCAAGGAAAAAGAGGTGGGTATTAGAGACACTCTGAAAAGGTTGGGTGTGTAAGATGATTTTCGTGCTCAGAAAGTGTGTAAGAGGGATTTGGTCCATATTTCAGGGGGCAACTTATGTATTTTGCCTAAAAGGAATGTTGAGCTCCAAGGAACCTTTGATCAGATCAATCAGGCTAGTGCCATGTTACAGGAGCTCATATCTAATGTTGGTACACCTACAGGTGGGTCAAAAAATGCCGCCCCATTTACTCAGGGTTCTGCTGGCCCAACAACATAGCAAATGCAATCCCACAGTTGTGCGAATTTTGCAAAATGCTTATGCACGTTTGGAGAAAAATGCCATTTTGCTCATGGGGCTAGTGAGTTGCAGAAGCCATTGGCTTGGTTTTCATACTATGTATTAGCAAAAATAGTGTTTGCCAATAAAAGATACTGTATGGGTCAAAATCTGATCAAAAGAAATCTACTTAAGGGAGAACGGCCTGGGGTCGGCCAAGTCAAAGTCACATTTCGGAAGCAACACACCAGCAAGTAGTCCGACTATGGCTGAAGTCGAGCACACATGAGGCTCGTACGGTTGGTTCGACACTTAGCCATTTTAAAGGATTATTCCATAGGATATTCAAGAGAAGGGGGTACACTGGTTAAGGACCGATGGGTAATGAAAGTGTTTTATATAAATACTAGGAGAGAGAGTAATGAGGGGGGCAGTAAAATTATCCAAGAAGAACACACCTTTCGGAGAGGAAAGATGGTCCATGACCTAAGATCCATCTTCAAAAAGAGAAAAGAGCTTAGAATCTTGATATTCATTTGTAGTTTAATCTTCTCAAGAAAATACAGATCTGTCTAGCCCACAGTCGGGTGAATCGTTTCTGTTGCTATTTCTCTTTTCCATTTGATATTATGTAAATTTCCATCTTTCATTATATTGTGGAGTATGAGCGGGACTATATTGGCCTTTCACACTCAACTATAATGGTTTATACCTGTTTGTGGTTCCTGATCTAGAAATGATTATCTTTGGCTAAGATTTATCCTGTATCTTCTTATTAAATTCGTTTAGCAAAAAGGGCCTAAAACTTTTTGGTCGAATAATTTTGCACCGTCTGTGGGGATTTCCTAGCCAAAGTTTTAGTTTCCTCTAGATTTAAACTCGGTTCTAGTTCTATTTCCCTTTCGTTGTAACTTCATCCTTTCGCTACGAACACAAATTTGAGGAATTCGTAGGCAAGATCTTGAAATAGCCAAACCAATTTTTAATCTAGACCCTTGCATGAAATCGAAATTATGTCTGATATCTATACGAAAACTACGCTTCGATGTAGTTATAATTTTGACACGTTACGAATGCAAGCTGTCATATTAGGGCTTTGGCCATCACGTATTTAGCACGTCCACAATCCTGTCACCATGTTAGCGCTAGATACCAATCTATACCTTATGCATACAGCCCTCTCCCTCTCAGAAAGGAATAATAACCTGTTATGTAATTCCTTGAAATGACAAAACTCGTTCCCGCCTATGTGCTTGTGGTGTGGCTTATGTTTCCATTTCTTCATGCACTCGGGACTGGATCGGATTGGAACTTGAACTCGAATATCCCAACGGGCGAAGTAAGTCATCAACCCACAAGGTGCCCAGATTCGACTAACGCCGAAGCTAAGTACGAGGCTGAGATCGGATATGAAGCTAGCACTCTCAGTTCATTGCCAATCAGATCGAAGGGACTTTCCAGACCCAAGTAGCGGAGACGGCAAAAACACCAAGCCAAAGACCCACAAGATGTCATCAGAGTTTGATGGATATCAGCTCAACCAATGGTAGCAGCTACGAAGCATAGCCAAAGAAGGGAACATAGTCTCTCCCTTCCACTCGTCAACCAATCAGTCGAGGTAACAAACGATTTCGTTTGGCTTTAACTTGCTATTTATTTTCAGAGTGGGACAGGAATAGGGGCATCCTCACAGACACGTGAACATGGAGCAAACGCCATCAAAATAGCACACCAAGAAAACGCTTTGTGCCATATCATCCTGCAGGCAATGGTCGAGCGAAACCTACCCCCCCCCCCC